GTAAATACCACAGTGTACATGTAGCAGAACACAACTTGGAGTTGGGTCTCTCCTTTCACAATGTGGATTCTAGGATCAAACTCAGATACTCAGGACTTGTGATTGAGGCTCAGAAATGTTATTTACCTAAGCTGGGCATGGTGGCACATGCCTTTAGTTCCAGCACTTGGGAGGCAGAGGCAGGAGGATCTCTGTAAGTTCAAGGCCAGCCTGGTCTACATAGTGAGTTCCAGGCCAGCTGGGGCTACAGGGAGATCCTGTCTCAAAAAAAAAATAAACAAAAAAAAGATCCAAGAGCTAATCAGAAGGCAGAATCAGTGATCAGTGGGGCTGGAGAGATGGCTCATCAGTTAAGAACAGTGACTGTTCTTGCAGAAGACCGGGGTTCAAATCCCAGCCCCCACATGGCAGCTAACAATTGTCCGTAACTCCAGTTCCAGGGGCTCTGACAGCCTCTTCTGTCCTCCATGGGCACTGCACGACATGGGTACACTTACCTACATGCAGGCAATACATGCATACACATAAAATAAAATAAATAAGCTTACTCCACAGACCCTGGCTGCTTCCATCTGGGAAGCCCTGTTTAAATATTATACAAAAGGCCAGGTGTGGTGGTACATGCCTTTAATCCCAGCAGAGGCAGGCAGATCTCTGTGAGTTCCAGGCCAGCCTGGTCTACATAGAGAGTTCCAGGCCAGCTGGGGCTACAGGGAGACCCTATCTCAAAAAGACCAGAAAGAAAAAAAAGAAAGGTAGACTCAGTAATCAAACTAAGGTCTAATACTGAATCCAGGCTCTTCACTACCAAGCTCTACATTCATGTTGACAACTAAAGATTTTGACTAAGTAATTTTTTTTTCCTTTAAGAACTTCTTGGAGATGATGAGATGGCTCAGCAAGTAGAGGCACTTGCCACCAAGCCTGACAACCTGAGTTAATTCCCAGGACCTACATGGTGAAAGGAAGAACCAATTCCTAGAAGTTGTCCTTTAACCTCTACACTTGCACTGTAGCAACCACCTGCCCCTATGCACATACTCATACACACGTGCATTAAATAAACGTAAACACACACACACACTTTAAAAAGAACTCTTTTATTTTTGTTTTTTTCCCACCTATAATGATCCTCACAGCCACCATGTCCACTCTGCTACAATAGAAGGAAATACAGAAAGTTCCTTACAGCTTTCAGGTTATTCTCTGCTGTGAACTCCACTATACAACTCTTCCTACTTCATCAATCAAACTATTTCATTCAAGTCCTTCCTGCTTAAAAACAAGCTGAGGGCTAGGCAGGTGGCTCAGCAGTAAGAGCACTGGCTGCTCTTGCAGAGGACCCAGGTTAGGTTCCCAGCACCCACAGAGCAGCTAACAACAATTGGTACCTCCAGTTCTAGGGGATCCAACATCCTCTTCTGACCTGAGGCCACTGCACGACATGAGTGCACTTACACATATGTAAAACACTCATACACATAAAATAAAAATTATAAATAAAATATTTAAAGACAAGCTGAGAGTAAAGGCAATCAACTTTTCATATCTGGACCCCACACAAAGCCTTGTGCACAATGAGGCTCAATGAACCTTTTCTGAAAGATGTGGAAGCAGGCTTCCCACACCATGCCCTCTGCCAAAGTGCATTCCCTTTGGGATGTTTACGCAAGATCTTTGAGAGGTGTGACTGTTGCATCTCAGCTAGAGATTTTATTGGATTCTCTGAGATTTTTTTCCAAGTTCCATAATCTGGGTCAGGAAGAGACAGACAGAGATAGATGAATAACAGTGCCTTTTAGTTACATCATCAATCAACCTACCAAGGATTCGCCTAATTAGGGCCCAGAGGCTACATACATGTATTTATGCATGTATATATTACTTATACTTACCTGTGTATGTATCCATATGCATGTGAGTACACAAATGCATGTACAGATGCATATCTGCATTCCCTCTATAGATAATCCAGCAGATGCACAAGGTTCCTGAGCCCTTAAGCCAGCACAGGGTCTGAACTAGCAGTCTCTTTTATACTCCAGCATATTGATGAGGTAAGGCAAACAACGCTCTGCAGTGCAGTCTCCCGTCAATACCAACTAGTACTACCTCTACAGGTACCAAAGAGCACAGAAAAATGTCAGGAGTCAAGTCCTGTTATTGAAAGAAACAGCAGCTCCTATGTGAGTTACTTTAAAGCTCTTTGGAACACTAAATACTATACTGGCAGCCACCTATCAAGAAACAAACTCTGAACTGATTCTTATGGGCACTATATTTCTGGCAGAAAGCTCAGGTCTATAGGCTAAAGTACTTCTCTACTGAAAATCAGAAAACTATGCCCAGCATCCATGGCAAGTAGAAAGTTTTCTGATCACGAAAAACAGAAAACTACGCCCAGTGTCCATGGTAAGCAAGGTCTCCAGACTAATCTGGAGTTGAAAAATACAACAAAGTAGATCAAGCAACTGTTTTTTCCCAAGGGCCAAATTTAAGAATAAGGGGGAGACCAGGGCCTAGTGGTGCATAACTTTAATCCCTGCACTAGGGAGGTAGAGGCAGGTAGATCTCTGAGTTCCAGGCCACCTGGGTCTACACAGTGAGTTCCAGGCCAGCCAGGGATAAATAGTGAGGCCTTGTCTCAAAAAACCTAAAGTAAATAAATTAAATTTAAAAATTAAAATAGGGGGAAGAGATTTAAAGAGCCCAAGCAAAAACTACTCAGTGGTGTCTCCTGAACTTCTCAGTTTTTGTTTCATTTTGAGACAAAAATCTCACTGTATAGCCCAGACTGGCCTTGAACTTGTGGGAACTTGTGATCCTCCTACCTCAGCCTCCTGAGTGCTGAGATTACAGGTGTATGCCAACCAGGCCCAGTGTTCTACGGAGCAGTAGCAGAACCATGGAGGTTAGCAGGTTTCTCATCATCTCAGTAGGCTTTCTAGTTTCTTCTTTCCTAACCTACCTCTGTCACCATATACAAAATTTCATGAGATACAGAAATGAAAAAAGAATCATACAGCATTTACGTTTTAAGACTGCTAGTAAAGGGCTGGAGAGATGGGTCAGTGGTTAAGAGCACTAGCTGCAAGTCTTGCAGAGGACCAAGGTTTGGTTCCCAGCACCCACATGGCAACTAACCACCATCCACAATTCCAGTTCTAGGGGATCCAGCTCCCTCTTCTGGCCTCCACGGGCATTGCACAAAGTGGTGCACTTACATGCAGGCAAGACATTCATACACATAAAATAAAAATAATAAATTAAGCTGGGCGTGATGGCACATGCCTTTAATCCCAGCATTTGGAGGCAGAGTCAGGCGGATCTCTGTGAGTTCAAGGCCAGCCTGGTCTACATAGTGAGTTCCAGGCCAGCTGGGGCTACAGGGAGCCCCTGTCTCAAAAAAGACAAAAAAAAAAAAATTAATTAATTAATTTGAAATTTTTTTTCAATGTATTCAGATAGATGATGAAATGATCTGGTCATCTAGTACAGTAGCCACCCAAAACCACAACCCCTCTCCTTCAGTCTACAGACAGGTTTTCCCTTTTTTAATTTTAACTGAGTCTATTTGGAGGAATCAGACAGAGGATTTTAAATCTTGAAAAACCAAAGCCCTTTAATGAGATCTATTTTTAACCTACCTACCTTTATGGAGCAAAAAACAAAAAAAAGTGTTGAAGCCTATAGTTCAGGGCTCATCACCAGCCCTTACCTGAAGTCAAGGAAATTGGGCCTATGACTTTAAATCTACCTCAGCTGAGCACAGTGTCACATATCTGTAATCCCAACACTTAGGAGGTGCTGGGATTACAGGTGCATTAGGAACAGCAGTTGAAGGTCATCCTTAGCTACACAGCTAGTTTGAGGCCAGCCTGGGCAACATGAGAGCATATCTCAGCAAACAAAGCAAAAAGCTATCTCAAAGCTTCTCTACTGCGTACATCACAGCAGTCAGTCACTGCTGGAAACAAAACATATAATTTAAAAATAAAATTCTATAATCTGCTCCCGAAGAGAGGCATATGGGGAGCGGGGGTGAAGGGGCAGAAATAATGGCGACAAGAACAACTGGTGGTGTCCAGGACGGACGAGGGCTTCAGCCAGGGCAGGGAACCAACCAGTAGTACTTTTTCTCTCCAAATGTCTCTCAATCCGCTCACTCACCACATTTTGGATCAATAAACTGTTTTTCTCTTTTGAGAGGTTTAAGGCAAAAGGAATTGACGGGAGGGAAGCGGGAGGGCGATGCCTGGGATTCGTCGCAACACGTAAGTAAGCCAGGAAAACGTGTAGCTGTTTACTACCCGCGCCCGGAGCTGCAGGGCGGGTAGGACCCGCCCCCCGCGCCCCGGAGGGCACCCGCCACCGGCCCTCGTACGCCACCCTAGCTCCCCAATGCCCCCGCGACCCCCGCCCCCAAGTTACCTCGGAGGCCCGGGTTGTCGTCCCTGGCCCGAATCCTGCGGATTTTGACCGGACGCCCGCTCAGGGTGGACAAGACCAGCCGCTGGCGCAAGAAGTTGCAGCCCGCGTAGCTGAGGGAGTGCGCCTGGGTGGCCATGTGCGCGCCCTCCGCGGAGGCCCGGGAGCAGCGGCTTCGGACAGCCCGGGGACCACGACCCCACGACAGCGGCGCCCGCCTGCCTCCCTTGGCCCCTGAGTCCCCGTCGCGTCCACGTGGTTTGGAACAGGAAGACAGAACGACTAGACACCGGGTCAGAGGGGAGCGGGGCGGAGCCTACGGCCGCCTGTCGGCCCGACTGGGGCGGCCCGGGCGCCGGGGCGCTCTGCCATTGGCTCGCTGGGGATCAGGGCGGTGCCCATTCCGCGCCGCCATTGGTCCGCGCTGTAGTTGGGCGGTGCCCTAGACGCGCTGCCATTGGTCCGTAGTGGAGCTGGGCGGAGCCCAGGCCCCGGCAACAGCGCGCGTTGGGAGGGAGATGTGAGAGCTGATCCGAACCTAAGCGCCCGGCGGAGCCCGCTCTGCGGGGCTCCCGCGGGGCTTCTGCGGGGTTTCGGTGCAGCTTCCCCGGGGCTGTGAGCCAGGAGTGGCCCACCTGGGTGCCCGCAGTTTGCTGGTACTTAGCAGCGCTTCCTGCGCTTCCTGAGGATGCTGTCCTCTCCTGCTTTTCCTTATAGGTGAGAGACAGGATTGGCGCGCTTACACGCTTGTCTGCATGGTCTCTGCGCAGTCTTGCCTGGTACTGCCTCTCATCCTTCACACCCGGAAAATTGCAAAACCGTCACAGGCAGTCTGAACTAGGACCCAAGCCTTTAGACACGAAGCCATTGCTTATTTTATTTTTTCGCTTTTGCTCCTTATCTGTCCCCTCGTTAATATTCATTGAGTTTGTGTCAAGACAGACCCCTCACGTCACAAGCCAAGCCTCGAAATGGACAGTTGCAATAATAAACTTCAAGACTTACACGCACATGCATATGCAGACAGAGAGAGAGAGAGAGAGAGAGAGAGAGAGAGCGGTTTCATCTTTCCTGCCATCCAAGCCTGCACAACAAAACCTTCCTGAATACTGGATAATTTCACTCATCTACTCAAGTCAAATGACTACCAACTTAGGAGCCCAGTATCCTAATGACGTAGGATGTAAGTTTACTGCCATTTGTGGGCAATATCACCAGACCTTGAGTGCCAGAATGCACAGGGGAAGGTGGGTGAGAGCTGAAGAAAGGTTATGAGAAGTCGTCATCCTTAAATTGGGAGGTCCTGAGGAGCTCCTAAACACTAGCCTCAAAGTCCACGGAGAAAGGTGGCAAACTCACTGACAGTAATGCCATTCTGTGAGACTGCCTTTAGAGAGCTGACAGTGGTCTGGTGGGCAGCATGGGATAAGCTCCAGGACTCCTGGGGGTCTCCCCTAAACGCTGTTGTGTTGAATTCTAAAGCACAGGAAGTATATAGAACACCACGAGTGGGTTTTTCATTTTCTTTCTTTCTTTCTTTCTTTCTTTCTTTTTTTTTTTGTCTTTTTTGAGACAGGGTCTCCCTGTAGCCCCAGCTATCCTGGAACTCACTATGTAGACCAGGCTGGCCTTGAACTCACAGAGATCCGCCTGCCTCTCCCTCCCAAGTGCTGGAACTACAGGTGTGCGCCACCACGCCGGGCTTCATTTTCTTTTTAATGTTATCTCATTTAATTACCCAATTATCTTAAGAAAACTAATTCTATGCTGCATGTTCTGTTCCTAACCGTCACTATTTTCAGTGCAAACTTGCTCAATTTTCTTCCTCCAGAGCCTCTTCCTTGCTTCAGTGTTTTTCAACCCTGCCTAGAACTTACTGGGGCCTCCAAGTAGTCAACCAATGACTAACTGAAATTGACATGGAAATACCCAGGCTCCCTTAACCCTTACTGAGATAACTCTGAGATGTGACTTCTGTGTGTTCCCCTGGGTTCTCCAAGGGCTTTAAGCCCTAGTTACTGATTGGTGTCTTCTTGGTTAAGCCCCTTTTACTGGCTACTTTCCCTGTAACACTTCCCAGCTTCCTCTGGTATGCCCTGGAATTAACTCCCAGATAAATTACTTACTCTCAGACTCTTGCTTCAGCATCTTCTGGGCAGTTGGAAATAAGTCCTGACTGATAAAAATTAAGAACTGAGATTCAGGGACAAAAACAGACAGTTGTTTTAAGCAACATAGTAAAATGGCAGAATTAAAATTAAAACTTCATTTAGCTAACCATGTGTTTAGGCTTCCGACCTTTCAGTAAGAAGACTGGCTTCAGGACAGCTGGGATGTAGGAGAGACCACACAGAGGGAAGAATGCTAGCCAGAATCAACTGCCACCCAGGGTAGTGAGCAAGCCCCCCAGCTGACTTCAGTCCCCAACCAGCCCCCATGGGTGCCATCCAGGGCACAGATGAGCTGTCCCACTGAGGCCTGCCCATATTGCATAGCCACAAACTAAGTAAATTATTGTTGCTGTTTTAAGCTATGGGTTTAGGTTGATTTGTTACACAATAACTGAAGACAATTTTTGGATGGATTGTTTCAGTTTAAATAAATTATAGCTACAAAGCCAGGCATGGTAGCACACACCTTTAATCCCAGCACTCGGGAGGCAGAGGCAGGTGGATCTTTGTTGAGTTCAAGGCCAACCTGGTCTACATAGAGTTCCAGGACAGCTGGAGCTACACGGAGACCCTGTCTCAAAAGGACCAAAAAAAAAAAAAAAAAAAAAAACCTATAACTACAAATCCTTGTACAGTAATGGGTTAGCAAGCCACAAGAAAGATTGCATATGAGATTACTGAGTTTCTGAGCTAAGAGCTTTATGTATGTGATTTTATTTGGTCTTCACACCACCTAGCTCAAAAATTGAACTATAAGGAAGTAGAGGTTGATAATACAATTCTATTGACTTTTGCCTATATTTGAAGTTGTCCAGTACAATTTATTAATCTGTTCATAAATTCGTCTTCCTCACTAAGTGATACCTGACATGTGTCTTGATCAGTCATCACTTCTACAATACTTCTATGCTAATGAGGACAAAAATCTACTTGGCTCAGCCACAGGGCTTTGGATTTAAAAGCCAGAGTAGAAATCAGCTCTTCCCAGTTCACAGAGAAAGCTGCTCAAGATCGCACTTCACACACCTCCTTTTTCCTAATCACCTTTCATCATCTCTGTTCATCATCTCCTCATCATGGATCCCAGGGCTTTTTCACACCTCAGTCTAGTTCTTCTTCTCCAGTTTAGGTGAATTTTTGTGTCCTGTCCTCCTCAAGCCCTTAAAATAACTATTCGTAGCTATGTTTTGGCATATATACGCCCATTACAGTTTGCTTATGAGGTAGCCTCTCTAACACTTTGTATCCAGTGAGTATGGGTCTGTATAGTTTCTTACCAGAGGACAGCTTACCATGAGGATAAAATGGAAGTACTATCATTGTATTCCTAAAGCTTAGCACCAATGAGGAGTTTAACAAAAGTATGACTGAACTAGAATTAGTCAGTTAATTGAAATATATATTTAAAAAAAGCTAAATCAGGAAAATTAAAAGTGTCAAAATCATTGATTCTTAAACCTTAGCCTGAATCATAATTGCCTGAAGTGAGGACTGGCCAGATGGCTCAGCAGGTAAAGGTGCTTGCCTTGGAAACGTGGTGACCTGGGTTCAATTCCCAGAACCCACAGAAAGGTGGAAGGAGAGACCAGGCAGAAGGAGAGAACTGACCCAACAAACTTGTATGCCAGCCTCACATGCTAGCCTTGGCATGTGCACATACAATAGTAATAAATAAAATTTATTTTTAAAAATTCCCTGAGGGGTTTGTTAAAACACAGATTGTCTCATAGCCAGGGTTTCTTCAGTATGCCTGGATTAACCAAGACTTTATATTTATAACAATTTCCCAGGAGATGTTGATGTTTCTGGCCTACTTTGAGAGAAGTGTTGAAATGCTTAAACAAAGAAGAAAAGACTTATGAGGTATCTTAAAATGTTTCATCATACACATAATTGAAATCCTGAAAGAGAAGACAGAGAAAGGGGAAGAAAAATATTTGAAGAAATATTTGAGCAACAGCTTTCCAATCTTGATCAAATACATGAGTCTGCATATCTATGAACCTCAACAAATTCCAAGGAGGATATACTCAGAGATCTGTATCAAGGTACATTATATTCCAACTATCAAAAGACAAAGAATCTTACAAGTGGCAAGAGAGAAGATAATTATGGTTCACAGGGGATCCTCAATAAGACTAATAGCTTATTTCTCACCAGGAACCATCAAGGTTGAAAACAAATGGAAAGACAAAGAGCTAAGAGGAAAAAAAATGCTAACTAAGATTTTATATTCAACAAAAGTACTAAAAGCTATATGCCAATAACCGAGAAAGCTTGTCACTAGGAGGCCTATACCACCAGAAATAGTAAAGAGAATCCTTCAGCCTGAAATGAAAGAACACTAGATACACTCAAAGCCAAGGAGTGGCTTTACAAACTCAAGGCCCCAAACTGGAACAGAAGAACACCAGTAAAGTAAATATACAGGTAACCATCAATGACAATTTATTTTTGCTTGAAATTTCTCATTTTTCCTATTTTATTTAAAAGCTAGTGAAGTTAAGCTACAATTGCTTGGACTAAATTGTTATAAGGTATTCATGTTAATCCCCAGTGCAACCACTATGAGAACTCAAAAACATGAAGATAAAATGGCAAAAGAACTAAAATGATACAATAGAATATTTAATACAAGTAGACATTAATGTAAGAACTGAGGGGAAAAGATGAAAGGTATATAGATAACAAATGACAAAAATGACAGAATTAAGTACTTTCTTCTAACTAATTACATTAAACAAAAATGTGTTAGTGGAGATGGTTCAGTGGATAAAGCACTTGCCATACAAGAGTGAGGACCTGAGTTCAGATCCCCAGAATCTACATAAATCTAGGCACAGCACTCCTCTGTTATTGCGGTGCTCCTATGTTAGAGATAAGAAAATACCCGGAAACTCACAGGCCAGCTGCCCTGAGGTACACAGTGCAAACAACAAAGAGATCCTGTCTCAAACAAGAGAGAAAGCAAAGACCAATACCAAGATTGTCCTCCTGCCTGCACTTACACACACACACAATTATACACATATTAAAAAAAAAAGTAAATCCAACTATCCAATTAAATGGTAGAGACTTGTAAAATAAAGGATGCCTTTAATCCCAGCAC